AGAGTTTTTTCATCAGCAGGGGACACTGTAAATGTGCAAAGACCTCAGCTTATGCTAAAAAAATAAAATAAAATAAATCTCTTCACAGTCACATTTTTAGTTTGTTTATATTAATGAGTCTTCTTTAGTTTGTATTTTGTTGTTTTGGAATTTGTTGGCAGTTTTGGAATAAAGTGGAAGAAAATATATTATATTATGTTTTGCAAAAAACATGCAGCATTTAAGAAAAAATTAATGGGCTCTTGTTCACCTTAAAATTGTTTCAAAATGTTGGCGCAATAGCCTAGTGTTTATCACGCTGACATATGATGCAGTAGCATGTCAGGGCGTCCCCATTTCGAATCCCAGCTCAATGACATTTCCATTCCCTCTCTCCCTCTCCAACGTCGCTTCCTGTCTCAATACTGTGCTATCTAAAAAAGGCCAAAATTAAACCTTAAAACAAATTGGTTTTGTAAACAAATCATAACTAAATCGTGAATCGTGACATTATATCGTGAATCATATCAAATCGTGAGTCAGGTGAATAATTACATCCCTAGTGAGGACATAGCTTTATAAGTACAATTTGACTGTATTTTTTGTGTGCCCTTCAAAAATTTCTCATGAGAAATTTCATATTTATTGTTCAATTAAATTTACACCCATGATTTGGTGCAAACAGAAAGAATTTATGTCATATCACAGGTTAGTCTCAAGATGTTTAAAGTGAACCAGCATTTTATTTTAGAAAGGCAGTGAAAGGGGGTGGGAGTAGAGAGTTGGGTTTGCTAGAGAGGTAGAATTAGGTACCATTCACATATCAGTGGAAGTGGATATTGAATTAATGAAAAATGTTGCTGAGTGGAAGGAGATAGATTAAGAAAAGAAGCGGCCTCAGGATAGTGCCCTGGGGAACGCCTGTGGTAACAGGTGAGGGCTGTGACCTGAAGGTTTTAAGTTGATTAAACTGAGTGTGGCAAGAAATGAATGAACCATTCAATAGAAGATAATCTGCGCTGTACTTCAAGTATATACATGTAAGTGTACTTCAGCATTACTTTCAGGTTTACTTCATAAAATGAACTTGAAGTCTAATTAATTTTTCTAAGTGCTGTCAAGATGACACTGAAGGAGAAAGTTCAAGGTTATTGGCAGGGAGTCATGGCGATTCATCAGTTTCCCAGCAGTCAGTGTACACTTTTTCCCCCCAGTTATGACTGATGCAGCAACCCAGATGGATTTTGACAAGTGTCAGAGTGTTTAGCATTTCCTGTCTCTGCTATTTCTCAGCACAGATTTCAGTCGATATCTGGGGGCGTTTAGACTCCTTGTGGGGAAAATTGATGGTAGTGAAGACCTACATCGCTTCTCATGTTGCCCTCCGACTGAAAAGTACCACAGAAAGCCACAGAATTTGGCTTCATATCAGTATTTTGCATTTGAAGTGATGCTGAGATAAAAAATGGCAACACATCTTGCCAGTAGCTCCAAGAGAGCAGCCATTTGACATCAACCTAAAATAATGGCAGTCTAAAATGAATGTGGATTTTTTTTTTTTTTTTTTAAACATGTAAATCTATTATGAATTTTCTGCTACATTCAGCTGTGGATTGTTCATTCCTTTCCAAATGATTCTCAAGTGATGTTTAACAGAGCAGGGACATTTTTCACAGTATTTCTAAATATTTTTATTGCTATTTATTTTAGTTTGGCTGACATTTTTTTCGATTGGCTGTTGTCCATTGATTTGCCAAATAAACCTAACTCACCTAGTTTGCCTAATTATCTTAGTTCACCGATTAATGGTAACCCTGATGTGTGTCAAGTGTTTGCCAAAATGTGTAGATGCAGTTTTATGCAATAGCCATGTAAATAAAAGCTTTTTAAACAATTTTTTCACTTTTTTTCCGAGTTCCTTAGACTTATAATTTTGTTGTTTATATTTATGAATCCTTTACCCAAAGAGCACCAACACATTAAACACCCCTAAAGCACTTTTTATTTGATTTTGGATTAACTGAAAGTGTAATTTTCTTTTTGGCATTTTCAGGAGAAGATGCCTTAAAACGCGTATTCGCGGTCTTCGACTCCTGGGGGTTAAGCATTTAGTTATCAAAGCTCTTATGTTTAAATTTGTGTTTCAAAATTTTCTCAGTTTAAACAGCATTTGGGAAATATCAGCCGATTCTAATGTTATCACTCCATTGAAAGGGTGTTATCAGTTGATAGATATGGGCCAGAAGGGACCTTCTGCACCTACTGGTAGGCTCAGAAGTCTGTTATCATCCATCCACATGGTTAATAGGCTATAGATCACATACGGCTGTGACCGTAAGTTAACTGTGAGACCTGTTTTAACTATTTATTAAATTTCCCATTAATTGTATTTTATTAATGTCTAGCCCAACCCTTAACCCAATCGTCACAATGATGCAAAAACAGATCTGGATCTGGAGTCTTCTCTATTAGTATAGCTGATTAACTGTGATAACTATTTATATATTACTTGTTAAATTTTCCGTCAATTGTTTTTTATAAATTTTTTTAACCCTTACCCTAACGTTAAACTCAACCATCACAGTAATGTAAAAACAGATCGGGATCTGGAGACTTCTCTATTAGTATAGCTGATTAACGATGTGGATGGGTGATAACAGCATTCTAAGCCTACCAAAAGATGCAGAAGGTCCCTACTGGCCCATATCTATCAGCTGATAACCACTGATAACACTCATTCAATCGAGTGATAACATTTGAAGCGGGTGGAAGTATTCTGAAAGGGTAAACGCATAGCTGCATGCCTACCGTTCATGTGACATGGTATTGTTAAATATATCAGGGGTGTTTAAGGACAGACATTAAACAAAAGTTCTGATAACATCTGAAAGTGATGCAGAAAACTGATTTATTTTAATATAACTGCAATTTTAATATTATTTTAAAAAACATCAATAACACTTTACTGAAAGGGGTGTTTCTAAGACTCATTTTTAAACCTGTCAACATAGGCTCATTCTGAAAACGTAGCCCTATATACACTTCTGGATATCGCAAGTTATGTATCCAGAATTACATATGGCTGCATTTGGTATTTAAAATGAAAGCTATGGGGCTGTACGACGCTGTTCCTTTTCATGATACCAGTTGACTGCTTACCTCTGTTTAGTCGGCGTCCCACTGTCACCAGTTTGTCCTGTTTGCTCACCATGTACATCAGCGTACATACAGTTGAAGTCAGAAATATTAGCCCCCCTTTGAATTAGTTTTTCTTTTTAAATATTTCCCAAATTATGTTTTACAGAGCACGGAAATTTTCAAATTAAGTGTGATATATTTTTTTTTCTTCTGGCGAAAGTCTTTTTTGTTTTATTTCGCTTGGAATAAAAACAGTTTCAATTCTTTTAAAGAATATTTTAAGGACAAAATCAACCGATTTGATAGTAAAAATCTAGGAAAAGTCTGTAAAATAACAGTGTTTTTCTGTAAACATTTTAATGAAAATATCTGTAGATTTTTTATTTTTTTGCACTTTATTTCAACAAAGAAATTTTACCGTAATTTTATGTTTTTTGTTTGGCAGCCGTAGCTGCCAGTCATTTGTCCTTTTTTTTAAGAGTATTTTTTTTTTTTTAAGTGTAGGCTGTTGATGTTTCCATCCGCTCTGCAGATCATACTGAACGTATCTCCAAACCATGATTTTTCCCTCACCAAACTTGTCTGATTTCTGTGAGAATCTTGGCTCCATGCGGGTTCCAATAGGTCTTCTGCAGTATTTGTGATGATTGGGATGCAGTTCAACAGATGATTCATCTGAAAAATCTACCTTCTGCCACTTTTCTAAATGATCAACTAGAAGTCAAGTTATTATTTGTTGATCTTACAACTGGGATTGACGACAAGACTTTTGTTAGATAGTGTACAAGTTAAATTTGTCATTAAAAGAATGATTAACATTAATGCTGCTGTTAAAAATGATTGACCGAGTATTGGCACTTTTAAAAAGACATTTTAACGACAGATACAGTTTGTTCCACTGGAAATGTGATCATAAAATCATTCATGACAATCATGCTTATGACAAGTTTTGTTGTCTTGGTAATATAAAGTTGTCATGACAAAGACGGAGACTGGTTGTGAAGTATTTGTTGCATTTGAATGATGTCGAGTTGCATTTGAAATGACTCTTAATTATAGGTGTCATAAGCATGCAAAAAAATCTCATTTACATTCCTGAAATGTGTCACGTCATGATTATAAAGGTTTATTAACACCCCTTCAAATAAAGTGTTACCAAAGTATCCATACTAAACAAGTAAATTATGATGCTGTGGTATCGATGTGCCTACCTCTACCTTTAACCCACCATTTCAGAAACTGTGCGCAAAAGGTGATGCTGCAGTTTAGAAGAAATTGCTTTTAACCATTGATTCTTGTAAACCTATAGTAAGGAAATCTACAAAACCAAAATAGGAACCTTTAAAATAGCACAATCCTTCACCTTCGAGTGTGTTTTATAGGGTATAAATATGCTGAATGAAATGAGTCACGTCCGATGAGTCATTAGCGCTAAGTGAACAGATCTTTTAATGTCAGAGGAAAGTCTGCGCTGTGAAGCAGAGCCTCTTAAAAGAGGGGAGAAGCTGAAGCATTTCTTTGGGACTTGAGGGAGACCCTGCTGTGAGGTAAAAAAAAAAAAAGACCTTACATTTTTCTATCAGGCACCCTTTGGAGGCATCTTATGAAAATATCAAGGAGAAAATATCAGCTTTTTTTAAAACTCCCCTTATAATCCAGTTAAAGCGTTCAGTTCAAACAACCTGCTGATAAAACAAGAAAACTCTTTACGTCTTTTCTCTGTCCTCCACAGCGTTCAGCAATTTATCTATAGCTTGCTTTCTCTCACATAGAAGCTTGCTGTGTGTGTGTATGGGGGTGGATGTGTGTTTGTTTTAAGGGGGTTGTGTGGAGCACAATTTACCTTGTCAGTCATTATATATATTTTTTCCCTTTTCCCCAAGGCTGGCCGTTCACTAACACCGTCTGTAAGATGAGCGGTCTGGTGCAAGGCATGTCTGTGTCTGCCTCTGTGTTCACACTGGTGGCCATCGCAGTGGACAGGTCAGTGGTGTCATTACATGGATAAATCTCACATAACCTGTTAAAAACATATACATTTACAAACCACATGTTAGTTTCAAATATACTGTGCATTTGTATTTATGATGAAAGTCAAATTACTGATCATATTTTTCCCAAGCACTGACATTACCAACTGTTTTGTGTATAAACATTAAAGAGATATGGTTCACCTAAAGATGAAAGTTTGCAGCATAGGCTCATTCTGAAAATGTAGCCCTTCATACATTTCTGAAGATCGTAAATGATGCCGGAAGTACGTATGGCTGCATTTCATTTTTAAAATGAATGCTGCGGGGCTGTATGACGATGTTCCTTTTCGTGCTTATCAGCTGACCGCTTACCTCCTTATGGACGGCTTTCCCATTGTTACTAATTTGTCTAGTTAGGTCACCATGTACGCCGGCGGACTTGAGACATAGAGGGTAGTTGACCGCAACGACGGTTTCAAGTTCGGTGAAGAATGGTTTCAGAAAGCCAATAAGACACAAACAACAAGACACAAATAAAAAAAAAAAAAACAAGTAAATAACAGGTTGAGAACGTAGTAAAATCTGAAAATGTGGTAAAAATCAGACAAGGGAATTTAAAACTGTTAGTTGGGTTTAGGGAAGTGGGTGAGTGCTGGTTAATCGTGCTTTTGAAAACACTATTGGTTGGGTTTAGGGAAGGAGCAGGTTGGGTCAGTCAGTCAGTTGACAATCAGTTGACAGCAGCCTCTGGTAGATTTACACCGAAAGAGCAGGCACAAATGGCATTTATGAGAGAAATTTGAGATTTAAAAAAGCGTACACAGTGTTTCAAACACTGTGCCCTTGATTTGTGAAAACAAAAACTGTGAAAAACGTAGCTCCTGTGATGTATTTGGTGCACTCCAGAAATGTATATAGAGGTACAATTTCAGAATGAGCCTGGATTGCAAGTTTACTCACTATTTACTTATAAACTTTATGAGTTTCTTTTTTTCCGTTGAATACAAAATAAGTATTTTAAAGAATATAAGAAACCTGTGATCATCAACTTCCATATAGCAGGTACTATGTAACACTTTAATATAATAGTCCATTAAGTTCATTTATTAACTAACATGAACAACAATCAACTTTGCTAAAATTTACTGTTATTTAATTTAAATAATGTAAGTTTTTTTGTTGACTTACAGTGCATAAACTAATGTTAACGAGCATAACTTTGGATTTTAATACTGCATTGGTTTCTGTAGGACCACCAGCACTGCATGTTTTGGAAATCTTTTTTGTCTCACACTTATCACACCCAGGCTTTTTCTCAATATGCGTTCTTCAGTGATCTTGCGTCCTCGTGTTGTCGTGTAATGTCATCATCAGCTGCCAAAGTTCAGTTCCAATACTCAAGACCGCAAGAACAGAGGACGCATGAAACTTCCCGGATGTGTTCTTGATATCGAGGACGCACTGATGCAGACTTAAGCACCAAACTTGCTCTAAAAGTCACAGAAGTCATTGCGTCATAGCGCTTAGTTTTATTTAGATTTATTATTAAAGTTCAGAGATGTGACTTATTTACCTTAAGAGTGTCCCTAAATGAAACGGTGAATATAAACATTACTATGGACATCTTAATAAAGGAATAAACACATTAAGGGTGTTTGTTTGCTGAAATTCATATTAAAATCTATTTTATTTATATTGTGCAACATATATTTAGAATGTTTTTATGCACAGTATATATTTTGAATAGGGGAAAAACAGTACGTTGTGGTATGAAAGTCCGTTCTCTGCATTCTTGGAATCAAGAAACAGCCCCAGTCTTTCAGTCTCTGCTAATGAGCTGATGATCTGAATGAGGTTTGTTTGTTTAAGGAGATATGGTAAATGTACAGGGCTGGTGGTCCTCCACATTGTAAAAAAATATATGATCAATTAAGTTAATCATGTTCTACCTTCAATTTAAAAGTTACGCAAACTGTTTTAAGTCAGTTTAACATAATATAAGTTCAATTGAATTAATACAAGTTCAATAAGGTTAATTTGATTCAGCTTAAAAAATTAAGGCAACCTGATTTTTTTACAGTGCAGGAATGTGGTGGCGAAACACTAAAATTGAAACTATAATAAATAAATGCTTTACAAGATTATTCATACTTACACAGTAAAACTGTTTAAGTCAGTACAACAACAAAAAAAAACATACCCCTTTCGCTTTTTCTCGTTTGCTCAACTTTTGAAAACTTCAGCTGCACTGGCCTAAAATTATTTGTCAGTAATATAAAAATATTTAGTTGGATTAACATGAGATTAGTTTTCTGGAGAGGTGAACTACTCTGTAACAAAACTTTTTTTAAGTTGTGCCAACTAAACATTTTTGTCTGCAGAACATGAATGCCTGAAGAAATGCCGTTGAATGAACAAAAAACATAATCCTTATTTCTTTTTGTTTTTTTCCCCCACGTACTCAATTTTTCATCTTTTATTGGTAGGACAGTAGAGGCAGGAAAGCATGGAGGGAGAAGAGAGGGGAAGGATCAGCATAGGACCTCGAGGTGGGACACAAACTCAAGTTACCGTGAGCACCGGAGTGCCATGTGTCGATGCACCAAACCACTACACTATTGGCACCAATGTGTAGTAAACTCTTGAAAACATCAGTTGCACTGACCTAAAATGTCTGAAGTTAAGTAAGCAAAACAACTCTTGTGGAAATTGGTACTAAGAAATAATACATTATCAGAAGAAACAAATATCGTTCTATTGAAAAAACAGGAATCATGGTTCATATGTGAAGCATTACAAAGCATTTTTCCATGTTTGTCCTGCCATGCTGTTTTACCTCTTGTCCTGTTTCTAATTCTGTCTCTATTAATTAATTTGTTAACTTTTGTCTCTGTTTTTTTTCAATAAATGTTTGTTTGTTCTGATAATATATTATGTTCCAGTACCAATTCCCACAAGAGTTGTTTTGTTCACTCAATTTCAGACATTTTTGGTCAGTGCAACTGATGTTTTCAAAAGATGAGTACACATTAGGGTTGGGCGATGTTGACCAATCTGGCATCTTCCGATGTCTAATGTAAAACATTGCAATGGACGATGTCATCGTCGTCATAGGCGGGGGGTGGGGGTGGTTAAATATCAATTAACTCATAACGAATCCTCACCGCATGCGCGGATTTAGGAGACATTTATGCAAAATGCATCTTTGCACCTTAAACTGCCAAAAGCAGCACTCGGGAACAGATAAACAATTGTTATGTGAAGAAAACAGCCTGCAATGCTTGCCCCGCCTTTGTGCTCTTCTTATTGGCTCACTGCTCTTGAACTGAACGCGAATGATTGGTTAATACCAGCCATCAATCACTCAGTCAATGCCTTCTGCCTTCAGATGACAGGATCTGCAAGCGCGAAAATGTGAAGCGCTGAAGATGAGAGAATGAAACTATACTGACAGGCTTACCAACAGTTACTAATAATGGCACATCTTATTAGTGATCATCTGCTGAATGTTAATCCACCTTTTACACTTTAGAGAGGATAAAAGACTTCCAGTGTTTCTAGTCCACTATAAAAATGACTAAAGCCATTCACTGTAAAGTCTGTGTGACAGGGTTTGCAGGTAACAGCGTTTGCCACTGAATCTACACATTTTAATCACGAGAGGTACTGTATAATCCTTCACTTAATCTTCACGATGCTGTTAGCCGTGCAAGCGGCAGCTATATGTAACATTTAACACAGCTCACAAAAAGACTGTTATTGCTATTAAGATGGCATGCAAATAATAAACTTTATATCAATATAAATGTGGGGAGGGGCGGATCGCGATGTCGGCTCAGCATTGTGAAGTTTGACGGCCATCGGCAATGGACGATGACATCGACACATAGGGTTTTCAAAGTGATCTGAGTGTGATTCCTGCCTTGAGGTCTTATTACAAACATGAACAAACAGTAATACATGTATTACAGAATTACGTTATTTAGGTAACATTCATGTTACTTGATAATAATTTCTAATAACTGATTTATTTGATCTTTGCCATGATGACAGTAAATAATATTTGACTTGATGTTTTTCAAGACACTTTTATACAGCTTAAAATGACATTTAAAGGCTTAACTTACCTAGGCAGGTTAGAGTAACTGTGCAAGTTATTGTATAATGATGGTTTGATCTGTAGACCTAAAAAAAATCAACCCAAGCTCATTCTGGAAACGTAGCCCCGCGGACGTTTCTGGAGACCGCGATTTACGTGGCCGGAGGTACGTAAGGCCACGTTTAGTTTTTTTCGAGCGAACGCTGCGGGGCGGTGTGGCGCCGCTCCGCCCCTCCTCTTCGCGCTCGCCGGCCGACGGCTCGCCTCCGAGTGGAGGGCTTTCCCGATGCAATCAGTTTGTCCACTTAGCTCACAGCGTTGCGTCGGCGGAGCTGAGGCCCCGGAGGAGGAGGAGGCCTCTCGCGGATCCGCGAAAACAAAAACCGCTCAAATACGTACCTCCCAGTACATAAATCGCGGTCCACAGAAACGTCCACGGGGCTACGTTTCCACAATGAGCCCGGGTTGTACAAAAAATAGCTTAAAGGGGCTAATAATTTTGACCATAAAATTGTGGTTAAAAAAATTTCAAACTGCTTTTATTCTAGCCGAAATAAAACAAATAAGACTTTCTCCAGAAGACAAAATATTATCAGACATACTGTGAAAATTTCCTTTCTCTGTTCAACATCATTTGGGAAATGTTTAAAAAATAAGAAAGAAAAAAAAACATTTTAAATAGGGCTAATGATTTTGACTTCAACTGTATATTTAAGTGTGTTAAATAAGAAGTAAATGATGACAGAACTTTCAGGTGAACTATTTCATTAATAAGTGATGTATTATTGTTAAAGAGTGCTGGATGTTAAGCAAACACTTTCCAGTTAATAATAATTATTAAGCAGCTTTACTTTTTAAGGTAAAATTGCTAAAAAAGAAAAAAATATATATATTAGACTGGAAAGTGGATGATGCAAATGAAAAGGGTAATAGAAACTGCAAAATTAAGATGTAACCATTGGACCAGAAATGCTTAATGGGGCAGCAGGGAGACAAAAATACAGAAAATAATTTAATAACAATAAACCTCTGTGACTTTCTTTCTTCTGTTGAACACAAAAGAAGTTGTTTTTAAAACTGGTTGATGGCACCATTTGATTTAATAGTTGGACAAAATACTAGAGAAAAAAATCCACCATTTTTCCAGAACTGCAGACTATGACGAGTCTTCATAAGTACAAGATGTCACAGACTGAAGGTTAAGAATCTTAAAACATAACTTCCACATAACAAAAAGCTGAAGACACCGAAGTGTCATAAAATAGATAGAGGCTGATTTCATAGACAGTTTTATGAACAGAGTATGAATGGCTCTTGAGGTAACAGCACAAGTTCGACAAAAGCAAGAAATTATGGTGTGAGCTGAAACTCACAATGAGCAAAACGGACCTTTCATGGTAGGAAACTTACTTACTACAGGATTGAATTACTGCCAGACTTACTGATAAATTCTTCAAATCAGGATTCGTTACCTTTGTAAGGCTTGACACATTGTATTTCTTTAGACTCTGGTAAGCCGCAGGTGGCAGTTTTTATAGTCTTGCATTCCTCTTGTGGCCTTGAAATACGTTTTGACTTTTCAGGGCCATTTCACTTATAAAAGGAAACCTGCTTAATGATTACACACATGGGAATATGAGGTAGTATGAAGTTGTGATCAATGAAAAATAATTTAAGAATGAATTACATGCTAAATTGGTAGTTATACATATTGAAGTTCATTGGTATTGGTTAAATGTGCTTGTGGAAAAAGTAGGATCGGAATATTGACCTGGCAGAATAATTATACACAACCCAAGCTCATTCTGGAAATGTAGCCCCGCGGACGTTTCTGGAGACCGCGATTTATGTGGCCGGAGGTACGTAAAGGGCGCGTTTGGTTTTTTTCAAGCGAACGCCGCGGGGCGGTGTGGCGCCGCTCCGCCCCTCCTCTTCGCGCTCGCCGGCCGACGGCTCGCCTCCGAGTGGAGGGCTTTCCCGACGCAATCAGTTTGTCCGCCTAGCTCACAGCGTTGCGTCGGCGGAGCGGAGGCCCCGGACGAGGAGGAGGAGCCGGCCGCGGTGGACGACGACCGGGATCGAGTCCGGGGAACAGCAGGTTCCGGAAATCAGGTGATACGAAAAACGGAATCCGAAAAATGAGGGCGCGAACGCCGCACGCTCCCGAGAGGCGCCCGCCCGAGACGCGAAAAAGTGCGCACAGCGGCCTCTTGCGGATCCGCGAAAACAAAAAACTGCTCGAATACGTACCTCCCGGTACGTAAATTGCGGTCTGCAGAAACATCCGCGGGGCTACGTTTCCACAATGAGCCCGGGTTGATTATACACATGCCACACACAAACACACATGACACACACAGTACATATGAGCAATATCACATGAGCAGCAGTGCGACATGGCTGTATATCAGCACTGGTGGGAACAATTACGATATACAGGCTTATCGCACTACTACTTATGTGATATTATGTTTATACAACTGTTCGACAGCATAACCGTGTGTATAAAAAAGAAAATAAAACAGAGCCAAAAACCCTTTTGTATGAGGAACTACTTTCTTCCGCCATTTAATAACATCTGAATCTAAGTGTCAGAACAACAGAAACCGTTGCTACTTCACAAACGTCACTTTGGAGCTATTCAAATGATTCTCTAGCGTTATGTCTAAAGTGATGACAAAGCAGGTGAATTTGCTCACTTTTTAAGATTATTAGGCTGAATGGCATGAAATGTCATCAGTCTACAGAGATTTCCCAGTATTTCTCTGTTGCAATTGGGATATCACAATAATTAACCCTGAAAAAGCCAAAGCAAAGCAAACGCTACCAGATTACTATAGTATAAATACAGCACTACAACATACAAAAGAGAGAAATCAACTAAGAACTACTTACCTGATTTATAATGTTTTGACCAGCTTTAGTTTGAAATTTACAGTGAGTTTTTAATACCCTTAGGACTTATTATACAGTTTGTTGCCATCTTGTGGTGGAACATTGACCGTCTTTGCTATGCTCAACATGACACGCTGAATCTCCAAAATTATAAATATTTAAAATAGCCACTATCCTTATAAACAAACTGAGATGCAATCTAACCAACTACATTCTCACCTAAAAAAAGCCTCAAAAGTACATTATGTTGTCCAACAGCTGCAATATTTGTCAAACTGCAGTGAGTTTATTGATCTGCTGTCACTCTATGTAGGCGGAGTAATACACAAGGGTGAAGAGGCTGTAGGAGTGTTGTTATTGCAGAATATCTCACGGCTGTTATTCAAGATCCAGACAGAACTGTAAAAATCAATCAGTTAAACATTTGAGGTCTGCAGGATTTTTAAAAAAGGCTGCATTTATTTAATCAAAAATACAGTACACTCTCAGAAATAAAGATATGCGAGCTGTCACTGGGGTCCATATTGGTATTAGCCCCTTTAAACTATTTTTTCAATAGTCTACAGAACAAACCATTATTATAAAATACCTTGCCTAATTAACCTAATTAACCTAGCTAAGCCTTTAACTGTCACTTTAAGCTGTAAAGAAGTGTCTTGAAAAACATCTATGAAAATATTATTTACAGTCATCAAGACAAAGATAAAATAAATCAGTTATTAGAAATGAGTTATTAAAACTATTATGATTAGAAATGTATTGAAGAAATCTTATAAATGTGTTGAAGAAATCTTCTTTCCGTTAAACAGAAATTGGGGAAAAAATAAATAAGAGTGCTAATAATTCAGGGGGGCTAATAATTCTGACTTCAACTGTATAATTTGAAGGCATAATTATTAGCCCTGCTGTGTAATTTTAATTCCTTTTCAAATACTAAAGTTTGACAGGGTGATATTTTTTCTTCTGAAGAAAGTGTCATTTTATTTGGCTTTTAAACTATTCTGTTAATTTAGTTTTTACATTTTTAAAACTAATTTTATGGTCAATATTACTAGCCTTCTTAAGAAATGTTTTAGTTTTTTGTTTTTCTAATGGTTACAGAACAAACTACTATTGTCCAGCGACTTGCTTAATTAATTTAACGTTCTTAAGATAATTAGCATAGATTAAAATGCACTTTAAGCTGAATACTATCTAGCAGAATATTATAGCATAGTCAAAAGAAATGTGTTATTATAAATGATGTATTAAAACTAGAATGTTTAAAGAGCTGTTGAAAACCTGTTAACCAACAATAATTTGAAAGAGTTCAAATTTCACAAGACCTAATAATTAAATATATTATTATTCTTTGTATATATGTGTGCATGTGTGTGCTTGTATTTATGTATGTTTTAATACAGACTAAGATATTATGTGTTTATGATAGTAAAATAAAAATAGAAGAAATAGAAGGAGCACAATTATATATGAATAAGGCAGAGATTACGCCACACTAGTCTAGAGATGATGGCTGACGGAGTTATTTCAGCTCTGAAGAGCTCTGTTCAATCTCCTCCAGGTTCCGTTGCATTGTGTACCCGTTCCAACCCAAACTCACCCTGCTGGTTGCCAAGGTGACCATAGTGATGATCTGGGTGCTTGCTGTAGTGATCATGTGCCCGTCGGCTGTGACGTTAACCGTGGAGAGAGTGGAGCATCACTACATGGTCCGCGGCGAAGACTACAACCACACATACCCGCTTTTCTCCTGCTTTGAGAACTGGGCCAATCCACAGATGAGGAAGGTCTACACCACTGTCCTGTTTGCACACATTTACCTCATCCCCCTCACCTTAATCACGCTAATGTATGGGCGAATCGGGATCAAACTCTACACCACGTCTGTGATCTCAGGGAATGATCAGCATGATGGAGGACAGCCGCACACGTCCCCTCAGGCCCCTGGAGGCCAGCAGGAAGGTCGGCCCCTCATTTCTCAGAAGAAGATCAAAGTTATTAAGATGCTGAGCATCGTGGCCCTGTTATTCACAATTTCCTGGCTGCCTCTGTGGACTCTGATGCTCCTCACGGATTATGGAGGTCTAAATGAAGATGAGCTAGAACTGCTGAGCGGCTATGTGTTCCCGTTTGCTCACTGGTTGGCCTTCTCCAATTCCAGCGTCAATCCGATCATCTATGGTTACTACAACGAGAACTTCAAGAGGGGTTTTCAGGCGGTCTGCAGGGCACATTCGTGCTGCTTCGAGGGAATGACAGCAAGAAGAGGAATGCGACGGAAAGCAAGAGGAGAAACGAGGGATCCTGCCGTTAACTCCAATCCTTTGAATTTTGGTGCAAGGAACAGGGTTTACACCGACGGCGACCTGAAGAACTCTGGCACGTGTTTGGAGCTGGAGCACAGAAGGACTGGAAGACTTTGTAATAACTCTGTGTGCTCCAATGAAACTGGATCCAGCGTGGGATCTGGGATTAAAGGGGTGACGAACCAAAAAGCCTTTCAGATGGAGGAGGCAGAGAAAAAAAGTCCCATCAGAGGGAGTAAAAACCAAGCCTGGGATCAGTAGACGGATTACAGTCGAGACGTTTGTGAATCTGTGAATCTCAAATCTAATAGAGTCCAAATGTCGTAAGCTCTTCAGACAAAAAAAGAGAACGATTCGCTCTTCACAATCTGAATGAACTACTTTTTCTACATTTTGGGCTCAAAAGCCACAAGCTCTGCTTCATTTCCTGGAAGGTGCAAACAAGTGCTATCCTAAAAGGGGATGAATTCAAAATATGGCACATTAAATCATTCGTTTACAGACATTTTTCTGTGCCACTGATATGGCCCGCATGGATATTATTTAAAATGATCATCAGAATTTAATTGGCAAAGATCTTAATTACTGAAATTCAAGCCAAAAATATGAAACAGATCAAATATCATATTTAGATCTGAGGTCAGTGGATTGTAATGCAACATGAAGGCAAATGAGTGCATTTAAAGCATTCAATGAACAACTAGTCATGGATGATCCCACTTATATCATAGTCATTTGCTAGCATTTACACACACACACACACACTGAGAGAGAGAGATATATAATATAATATATTTTAGCGACTCAGTATCAAGCCTTTTCAAATAAATGATCAGTTTCTGTGTCCTCAGTGCAGTCTCTGTTAGTGATGTGCACGTGTGTCAATGAAAGCTACACATCAATATGAAAAGGCGATTAAAAACTACATGTGCTTTAAAAGGTTTTAATGTATACCTTGGAAGAGATGTGAACATTTGAAAAGGGCAATTCACACATGCCTCTAATTTATATCTATATGTTTTAGGTTTGACATTTATAATAAATGTTTAATGTTAAAAAAATTTTATACTAATATTTTTGTTTATTTTTTTTCTGATTTAAATACTATTAAATTTAGAGCACTCGCACACTATTTATAAACATATGAATTAATTTAGGGCTACCATTAGTCTATTTGACATTATATATGAATGAAATTAATACAGTGCAATTATGTACACATTTTTGTCTTTTAAAAATATAATTTTGAGCAAGTGCTCAAAAAAAAAGGCATATAATTAAAATATGAAGCCTTGACGTTACAATATAGGCTCATTCTGAAAACGTAGACCTATATAAATTTCTGGAGACCACGAATTATGTAGCCAGAAGTAGTGGTGGGCAAAGCGAGGCTTCGTGAAACACTGAAACAGTTGATGCAAATGTGTCAAAGCTTCGAAACGTTTCAAAACTCATCTCTACAGTGACACCTATTGGTAAAATTTTTATATTGCTATGGAGCAGCTTAAGCACAGAGACAGTTCAGCGAATTGAGGTACTAAATCCCACTTTGTAGAGTTTGTAGTGATTTAGTGAAGTGGTGAGAGTTCCTGATTAGCATGCCGGGATAATGAGTTTGAATACAGGGTGATGCAGTTATAGACACTAGTTGTTAAATACTCTGTTTTTATAACATGTTTTTGTTTCAACATTGGTCTGACATTGGAATGAACACTTTGTGAATAAATATGTCTTGTTTTGGTCATAAAAATTTATATTATTAAAATACATAAAGCCATAGTTTCAGAGTATTTGAACTTGGCTGGATAAGTCTCGTGACCTGAAGTTTCAAATCATCTTAGTCACGTGGCCTAGTGTTTCAAATTACTTTAGTCGCATGGCTTGGTGTTTCGAATTAGATTAGTCACTGGACCTGATGTTTCGAATTACATTAGTCACGTGGCCTGGTGTTTCGAATTACCTTAGTCATGTGACCAGGGGTTTCGAATTACATTAGTCACATGGCCTGGTGTTTCGAATTACCTTATTCATGTGGCCTGGTGTTTAGAATTACCTTAGTCCTGTGGCCTGGTGTTTCGAATTACCTTAGCCATATGACCTGGTGTTTCGAATTACCTTAGTCACGTGGCCTGGTGTTTCGAATTACCTTAGCCATATGACCTGGTGTTTCGAACTACCTAAGTCATGTGACCTGGTGTTTCGAATTAAATTAGTTGCGTGGCCTGGTGTTTCGAATTTCCTTAGTCATGTGACCTGGTGTTTCGAACTACCTAAGTCACATGACCTGGTATTTCGAATCACTTTAGTTATGTGGCATGGTGTTTCGAATAATTTTAGTCATGTGACCTGGTGTCTCGAATCACCTAAATGACGTGACCTGAGTGTTTCGGATCAAGCTTTGGTGCAGTATATCAAAACACTTACGCATTGGAATCTTGGCGAAACTTCAGTTTCACATCAGCCATCCTTAGCCAGAAGTACGTATGGGTGCATTTTGACTTTAAAATAAACTATATGCGGTGGCATGACGTCAATCCCTTTTACTCTTACCTCCATTTGGACGGCTTTTCCATTGTTACCAGTTTTTCCAGTGGCAGACTTGAGATGCAGAGAGGAGTAGACAATGATGACTGGGTTTGAGTCCGGTGAAGAATGGTTCCAGAAAGCGGGTAAAACAAAAACAGAAGCCAAAAAAATTAAATAAACAAGTAAATAACAGGGTGAGAATGTGGTAAAATCTGAAAGTGTGGTAAAAATCAGGTGATGGCTTTTCTTTTTCTGGATAACTTTTTAAAACACTGTCAGTTAGGTTTAGGGAAGTGTGGGCGGGTAAATCTGTGCTTTTGAAAATACTATTGGTTGGGTTTAGAGAAGGTGGGTGTGTCAGTCAGTCAGTTGACAGCGGCCTCTAGTGGATTTATGCAAGAACAACAGGTGCGAATTGCACTCATGAGAAAAATTTGAGCTTTTAAAAAGCAGCCTCTGGTGGATTCGTGAAACCAAAAACTGCAAAAAGACGTAGCTCCTGGAATGTAATTGGTGCTCTCCAGAAATGTATGTAAAGGTACGTTTTCAGAATGAGCCTGGGTTGCGAAAAAATGTGCATGCGAACAGGTGACCGGCTAAATTTCAAACAATGATTTTAATTTTCTACTGAACATTTGTTATTTGAATATTAGTCTGTTCTCAGATCAAGACTGTGTTCGTCAAATAAGAAGTGTTTAATTTTGTCTATTTTTTTCTGCTTTTCTTTTCTGGAATGAGCATTTGTATTGAGTACACTGTATTTGTGTGTGTCAGTCATTTTGTAAATTAGCACTGGTGTGGTATACCAAAGGGGAAAGATTCTGTCATATTTGATATACCTACTCTAGTCCACTAAGCGAGCAGCAGTGCGTCAAAGATGTGAGAAAAAAGCACAATCTGTGACTATGACTCAGATGTTTATATTTTAGTGTTTACTGTGTGTTCTGTGCGTCTTAATTGGTCTGACTGTGGCTCTAAGTGGCTTATGTAAGACCTGGCTTTTTGCTTTGGTGTGCATCTGTGTCTTATTCTTATTCTAATGCTGTAAAAGCAAGATGAATGTAAATTGATTGTAACGAGAATGAATATGGTCAATTCATTCCAATATCTCTCTGAGGAGGTATCGTTTCCTTTCTTTTCTTCTTTCAGGAAAGCATTATTTAAGAAGTGAAGTGAAATGAAATGAAATGAAGAGCCATTACTTCTGTCCAGGTTTTTGGGCTGAGGTTAAAGTAGGTGTCATAATGTAACGCAGCTCTTTGAGAATAGGCAAAGACAGTTGCTCTTAGACCTGGTTGAAAGATGTTTTGTAAACACTTTACTTGAAGGGGGTGTTCTTAAGACTGTCGTGACACCTTTATAATCTTGACATTAGGGATGCTATGACAACTGTCATTAAGTGGCATTTAAAGTGCCATTGTTTGACATGTCTTTGTCATGACACCTTGACATATGCAGATACATCATAACCTGTCTTTGTCATGACACCTTGACATTACAGAGAAAAAAAAAACATCATAAATCTGTCATATGCATTATTTTCATCCATTATGATTGTGTCATGAATATTTAATATTTTTCAGCAGAACAAACTGAATTTGTTATTTAAATTTCTCCTTATTCATTCATTTTCCTTTGGATTAGTCCCTTATATATCAGAGGTTGCCATGGCGGAATGAACTGCCAATTATTCTGACATATGTTTTATGCAGCGTATGCCCTTCCATCCACAATCCAGTACTGGAAAGCACCGTATACACTCTCATTAACATGCACACTCATGCATAAGGCCAATTTTGTTTACCCAATTCACCTTTCTGTGAGGCAACAGTGCTAACCATTGTGCTGTTATTTCTCAATAAAATTTTCGATACTACAGTATGTCAAATAATTTTAAAAGTGTATTATTACTATTATTATTATTATTATTAACCCTCTACCGTATGGTGTTGCCATAAGGCAACACAATATATATGTTAATTTCTCTGCCACTGACCTTAGTTCAGCCAATGATGTGCTTTGGGTAAGTCACATGACGTGCTGTGTTTTTCTGTAGTGCAATTTCTGATAGACTGCTATTTATTTTGAGTAGCTGCTGAATGCAAATGTAAACGTCAATAAAAACAAAGGATCAAATTATGTCAGATCCACAAAAAAAAAAAAAAAATCTGAGACATTACCTCCAGTAAGTTATGATGACATATTCAACACTCAATTATTTGTAATCAAATTAGTTTTGTGTAAATCAATCAAATGTATGTGTTGCCAACTGGCAACACTGTGCAATAGTGGGACATGCAATACTGCAATGAGTTAGCTAGCTAACAAGGTCAGCTGTGAACTTTTAAGTTATAACAATGACAACATGAATGCTAGTGATATAATGTTGATTCGTCATGTAATAATGGCATTTGTATTATGGATAACATTTATTTTACTGGCAATACTACTTTTGAATAGATATGAACACAGGAAACAGTGTATTAGCGAGCACCACCATGTTCTTTGGTAGGGGCAGAACTGGATCTTCATGCAGATGAAAGTGAAGATAAGATGGGTTTTAGTGACCATGAGAATGATGCAGACTGGACATTTGATAAGAGCAGTGATGGAGACAGTTCAAGTTAGTTACCTGAGAGGCAGATAATATATAAATATAATACAATTTATAGTATAATTTATAAACATTGTTAGCAAGCATAGATATATACATTAGATGTCGCCTGGCCTATTGTTTTCTATTGGACGGAATGCGTCAATAGCGCCACCATCTTGCTACAGGGTAGCGCTCCTTTGAAATGAATGCCGGACCAAGGTACAGTGGAGGACTGTGTCCATCCAAAGCCAGAGATATACACATATACACATATATCTATGATCGCGAGTTTTCCTGGATGTTAGTATGTAATTTTTTTTCTAATTACGAAAATTATAATTTTACATAACTTTTCTACATTGAGGGATCAGTGACCGCACGGGCATTCCTGACAAAAAGCTTGTGTTTGTGTGTACAGAAATGTACTATTCACCCTCCCTGTTAAATTTAATCTAATCCGTGTCCTGAAACACACCTCCTCTCCTGCTCTCACTTCTCATACTGACGGAGGGAGCGATTTGTTTGTGAATGAATCCCCCGAACGACTCTTTCACTAGCCGACAATAATACAAGTTTCTGGCAGCGCTCGTTGTCGTATTTCTTTTGCATTGTTTGCTGATTTTATTCAACAAAACTAGCATAAGCCGAGTGTTTAGTGCGAGTTGGAGCTGCTTTGCCTTATGGTGAATGCAGTAAGTGACTGTTATCATCAATAACGTGACCTGATTAACACAAAAGTTCAGAACACACAAAAACAGAAAAAAAACTTAATATTACCTATGAAATGTTCTGCCTTTGTGCTTTGTTTTCTTTGTTTGCTCGTTACTACACTCGTAGACAGCACTAAAGTCCCGCATCATCACGTAATAACACTGTTTTGACTAGTGCGGTTGAATGACATTTGTCCTGGGAGCACTGTACCAATGTGGCGGCGCCATTGACGCATGCTCAGGGTCCCTATGCGATATCTAGTGTATATATCTATGGTTAGCTAGTATAGCTACATTATTCTGATGCATCTGGATATATTAGATTTGTTATTTATTTGTTATAATATTTACTGGGGAAAATATCTATATTTATTGCATGTTATATACATGATAGCACAATATTATGCTTGTTTTTAATAATATTCAGCAAAA